ATCTTGGGTCAACTCTACCCAAGCAAGTGAAAGACTTGTAAAGTAAAATCTTTAAGACAACGAAGAAAGAATCTGAAGAAGATATCAGAAGATGGAAAGATCTCCCACGCTCATGGATTAGTGGGATTAACATAGTGAAAATGGCCATCCTATCAAAAGCAATCTACAGATTTAATACAATCCTCATCAAAATTCCAATTAGAGTTCATCACAGATCTTGAAAGAGCAATTTTCAGCTTCATATGAAAAAATTAAAAAACAGAATAGTTAAAACAATCCCAAATGATAAAAGAATGGCTGGAGGTGTCGCCATCCCCATTCTCAAGATTTCCTCCAGAGCTATAGGAATAAAAACAGTATCGTGTTGTCCAAAACACAGACACATGGATCAGTGACACGGAAGACCCAGATGCAAATTCATCTGATTTTTTTTATTAAGAAGCCAGAAATGACACTGGTGAAAAGATTGCGTCTTCAACAAATGGTACTGGTCAAACTGGATGTTTGTAAGTAGAAGAATGCAAACATATCCATGCTTATCACTCTGCAAAAAGCTTAAGTCCAAATGCATCAAAGACCTCAACGTAAACCTGATACTCTGAACCGGACAGAAGAGAAAGTGGTGAGTAACCTTGAAGTTACTGATACAGGAAAGGACTTTCTGAACAGAACATCATTAGCACAGGCAATAAGGAAGGTCTGTAATTAACAAATGGGACCTCATGAAACTGAAAAGTTTCTGTATAGCAAAGAACACTGTCTTTTGGGCAGAAAAGCAAACTAGAGAACAGGAAAAGATCTTTGTCAACTATACATCTGATAGAAGGCCAATATTCATAATATATAAAGTACTCAAACAAAACAAGACAAAACAAAACAAAATCCCTGGGCATAAAGAAAACAAACAACACAATTAAAACTGGGGTACAGAACTAAATAGAGAAATAGAGTTCTCAAGAGATGAAACATAAATGATATCTTTAATTTCTTTAAAATTAAAGAAATATTCTGCCTTAATCATCAGGGAAATGCCAATCAAAATTACTTTGAGATTCCATCTAACACCAGTAAGAATGACAAAGACCAATGAAACAGAAAGCCCATTCTAGTGAGGATGTGGGGTAAGGGACCACCCCATCCATTTGTATCAAACTTGTCCAGTCACTATGGAAATCAGTGTGATGATGCCCGAGGAAACTGGTACTAGATCGACCTCAAGACCCAACTATACCACTCTTGGGTATCACACAAAGGACTCCCTATCCTACTACTGCAGAGACGCTTGCGCAGCCCTGCTCATTACTGTCCTATTCAGAACGGGCAGAAACTGGAAACAGCCTTGATGCCTATCAACAGAGGAATGGGTCAGGAAAATGTAGAAGATTATCCAGTTGTTAAAAAACGTAATCATGAAACTGTCAGGCAAATGACTAGAACTAGGAAAAAAAAGTCATCCTGAGTGAGGTAACGCAGATGTCAAAAGTCAAATATGGTATTGTGATAGTTTGAATGATAATGTTCCTGTAGGCTCGTATATTAGTTAGTCCCAGGGGATAAATTGTTTGGGAAGGGTTAGAAAGTGTGGCCTTGTTGAAGGAAGTGTATAACTAGCTGTTGTCTTCGAGGTTTCGGAAGCCAATGCCAAGCCTAGTCTCTCTCTTTCTCTCTCTCCCCTCTCCCCAGCTTGCTGTCTGACGTCTTTGGGTCAGGATATAAAGCTTCCAGCTACTGCCTCTTCCCTGCCATGATAATAATGAACCTCTGAAACTGTAAGCAAGCTCCCAGGGAAATGCTTTTTTTTCTGTAAGACTTGCCTCGGTCATGGTGTCTCTTCACACCGATAGAACAGTAACTAAAACAGATATGTTTTTATGGATGTTATATATATGGATGTTAGCTTTTTTTTTTGGTGTGTTTTTTGTTTTTCGAGACAGGGTTTCTCTGTAGCTTTGGAGCCTGTCCTGGAACTAGCTCTGGGAGATCAGATTGGACTCACACTCAAAGAGATCTGCCTGTCTCTGCCACCCGATATGAAAAACCACAGAGGTTAAGTATATAGTAAGGAACCAGAGGGAAGGGAAGGACCCCCCCACCCAAGAAAGGGAAAATAGAATATATAGAGAGAAGCGGGGGGAGAAGACTTGAACAGAGTTAAATGGAGCAGTGGGGAGAGAAGTAAGAGAGGAAATACATGGAGGGACAGCAAATACTAAGGTCATTTGAGGGTTACATGGAAACCTACTACAGTAGAAGCTTCTTCAAATAGTATTCATTGTACTGGAACATAGTATGCACCCTACCAGAGAAGAAAGGTAAACTCTGACCCAGCTACAAACCGTTCTATCTACAATGGTGATCTGACTGCACCATACATTGGTGCAATAGTGGCACAGATGTTTTTGGAGTAACCAACCACTAACTGATTAGATTTAAGGCCCACTCCATGAGATGAAACTCATGCTTAACACTGTTTAGGTGGCCAAGAACCTGAGACTAGATAGACCATAAACCTAGGGGAAAACCAGATACTACTGTTCTACTAAAATAACATAGCAATAAAAGTGTCCTAAGAACATTCGGCCATACCCATACATCAGTGTCTTACTCCATCATCAGAGATGCTTTCTCCTGCGGTGGATGGGGACTAATACAGAGACCCATAGCTGGACAATGTGCAGAGAATGAGAGACCTTGATGGAATGAGAGTCCTAATCGGAATGTCCCCATCAAATCCCATCTCAGGGCTCAGGTCCCTCAGGGAACTCTGAGGAAGAGGAGGCACAGAGATTCTAGGGACCAGAGAAGATGGATGATACCAAGAAAAGTGTCTTCTAGACCCAACAGGACCGACAAAATACAAACTCGGAAGGTCTGAGGCAGTGTGCATAGGTGTGCAGACATCCAGCAGATGGCTCCCAGCCCTGAGATGGGGAAGTAGGCATGAGCTTTCATCCCCAACAGAAACTATCTCTGACTGACAACCGCTTGAAAAGGAAAAATCAGTTTCTCCAAGAAATCTCACCGGGGATACATCCACCTTCAGGCAGGTCCCTACCCAGCAGCAGTTGGACAGCACAAAACAAATTCAAAACTATCTTTGGAGATTTTTTTTTTGTCTCATATTACTTTGTTTGGGTTTTTTAAAAAAATCCTTACTGGTCTTTTGCTTATACATTACAGATTCCCATTTTGAGTTTTTATGGGATTTTTCTCTGTGTGTGTGTTTCTTGTGCCCTTTCCTAGTTTCTTTTTGTTAGTCTGTTCACTTTGTTTTATCTTTGTCTTTTTTTCTTGTTTGTTTTCTTAAGAGCATGAGAAAGGAATGGAGTTTGAAAGGTAGAACCAGGCTGCCCTCGAACTCACAGAGCTCCGCCTGCCTCTGCCTTCCGAGTGCTGGGATTAAATGGGTGTACTACCAGCACCAGGCTTCCTACAGGAAAATCTTACAGAGTCATTCAGGGGCATTCTCAACCAGATAATTCTAGCTTGTATCAGTTGTCAGAAAACTAGCCAGCACAAAACCAAAAGTTGTTTTCCTGGGACCTTTCATGGCAGTCCCTGCCAGTTTCACAGTGGTGTTCCAAAGATCAACAAGGGAAATACTTTTCATACTTCATATATCATTGCCTTTCTCTTCTTTATAGTTTTTTTTAAGCTGTCATCTGCCCTGCCATTTGCAACATAGACCAAGCTGGTCTCAAACTTATGTATTCCTCCTTGTCGTAGTGAGGTTTCTGTTGCTGCAATGAAACACCATGACCAAAAAGCAACTTGGGGAGCAAAGAGTCTATTTGGCCTACACTTGCATATCGCTGTTCATCACTGAATAAAGTCAGAGCAGGAATTCAAACAGGACAGGATCCTGTGCAGAGGCCATGAGGGGGGATGTTGGTGCTGCTTACCCACAGTGGGCTCCCCCACCCTCATTGATCACTAATTAGGAAAATGCCTGACAGCAGGATCTTATAAAGACATTTTTCTCAACTGATCCCCCCCCTCCTTTCACACACCTCTAGCGTGAGTCAAGCTGACATAAGACTGCCCAGCGCACTCCTGCTTCTGCATCCAGAGTGCCGGCATTACAGATGGGAATTAACTTTCCCCAAGCTTTTCTTCCTACCTTTCCTTTCATTTTTGTTTTGACATTTCTCTTGTGTGTGCTGTGTTGTGTGTGCATATATGATCATCCTTTAGTAGCCAGCTCAGGTCACCGGGCCTAACAATCGACACCTTTACCCTCCATGTCACCTGGCCACGCTTCTAAATTTCTTACGTTCCATACTTAAAATGGCTTTAGAAAGCCCGGGGATGGAGTTCAGTGGTAGAGGGCTTGCCTAGCAAGTGCCTTCCGTCCCTAGTCAGTAAAACAAGGAAAAAAAGTGCTTGATGTAGTTACTTTTTAAGAAAGCAAAACATCCAAGACGTGTATTAAAACACACAGGGCCGGCGAGGTGGCACCCTGGGTAAAGGTGCTTGCCACCAAGCCTGGTAACCTGAGCTCCATCCAAGGAACCCACAAGTTGGCCTATATTCTACACACATTTTACGTAACTATAATTAAAAAAATAAACACACGGTGGGAGGGTTGCTTTTGTTTATTTCTTTTTAGGCCGGTGACAGTAAAAGAGAAACATACTTCTCTTGGCCTATGTACCCATAAAAATGTCAAGACTCCAGGAGGGGGGCACCGCAGAATTCTCTTCCCTGCTTTCTAAGCGAGGACACTGAGGTTCAAGAAAGACCAAATGGTTGCGTCTCGTGTGGCAGGGAAGAGCTCACATCACTGCACCCCACACACCCCCTTCCCCGGTCACTCCCGCCGCTGATGATCTTTCTGCAAGTCCCAGCTTTCGATCAGGTGGCACTTCCGCTCGCTCCTCCCTCTGGTCCCAGTCACGAGTGGTCTTCAGGACTCCGCCCCTGCCAGCTGATTGGGCAGCTCCCGTCCTCTGATTGGATGCTCCTTTTGCGGCTCGCCAACCCGACCGGATATAGAAACAGGGCTTCCGCTTCCACCTTCTCCCTCCTCTCGCTCGTCCTCCGGTAGCTGCCGCTAGCACAGTGTCCGCTGCCGGGCGCGGTGTCGGCGGGTCGGTCGGTTGGCGTCGGCTTCGGTGTCGCTGCGGTTGAGTTGGGCTGTCATGGCTGAGCTGGATCCATTCGGCGCTCCCGCCGGTGCGCCCGGTGGCCCCGCGCTGGGGAACGGAGTGGCGGGCGCCGGCGAGGAAGACCCGGCCGCGGCCTTCTTGGCGCAGCAGGAGAGTGAGATTGCGGGCATCGAGAACGACGAGGCCTTCGCCATCCTGGACGGCGGCGCCCCCGGGCCGCAGCCTCACGGCGAGCCGCCGGGGGGTCCGGGTGAGAGGGTGGCGGCGTTCGGGCGGGGCGGGTCTGTGCGCTTCCGCGGGACTCGGGTTCCTGGCTGAAGCTGAAGATTAACAGAGGGACGCAAAGAGGAAGCGAGACCCCGTCTGGGTCGTGCACAGACCTCCGCTGCTGCAAGGCTGCCGGCGTCGGAGTGCCTGAGTGCCACTGGGCCGGGGCGGAGGGAGTGCAGATGCAGTCACGGTCAGGAGCCGGGCCCGTTCAGTCCAACTTTTCACTAAGCACTTGGTGCTTGAAACCGGGTCTCGGAAGGCACCGCATTGGCGCAGTTTGGCCAGGCTTACAGACATGTTTGAGTCTACCCAGAAAGAACGGCTTATTGGGGAAAAGTAAGACAGATACAGTTTTTGAGACACACATGCAAACGAAATTGGCAGCGTAGTTCAGCAGTTAAGATACATAAAATGGGTTGTGGGGAGGAAGAGAGAAAAATAAGGACCTCAAGAGAAGACAGTCTGACCGTGGGCAAAGAAACTGGCCTAGAAGGATAGGTGTCACATCGTTGAGTGTACGGTGTCCGGGACTTCTGGCGCTTTTCTTTGGAACAGCTCTGGAAGGAAGTCTAGATTCAGGAAAAGCTTGGCTTAGTCTAGACCAACCAAAGAGGAAAACAAGATGAATATAAAATGCAGTCGTGGGCCTTTCCACTGCAAACCTCGAGCAAAAGCTAAGGGGCTGGCTTAGAGTGACCGCTTGGCCTTCGAATGCTGTAACCTGTGATGCTTAGGACTGGTGTGGGAGCAAAGATGGAGTGGAAAAGACCCATTCATTAGTATAAGGAAGTAGGAAATTCACTAGAAAAACATGACACAATGGCTTTTCATTTGGGGAAAAAAAAAAAAAAAGGCGACTTGGCCTTGGGCGCGTGCACTATTTTTATTTTGAGAGACTAGTGCCAGAGGTTCAGCCTCAGTAACAGATCAAACCCTCAATCAAAAATTGCAGCTTGAAGAGAAATGGCGCTCCCTAGACAAGTGGAGTATCTCCACTCTGCAGCTTTGACTTTGAGGCCAAGGTAACAGACTGCATTGAGACAGTGAGTGTTGCAGCCTTAGGCTTTGGTGCACCAGATGGCGTTTTTTGTGTAATTGAGGCACAGGAATCTCAAATTACCATCCTAAGCAAGTGGACTATTTTGGGTCAGAGGTGCCCCTAGTTTGCAGCATCTGTTTTGTTTTTGTTAAGGAAAAACAAATCAGGACCCTGTGCCATCTCCTAGACCAGTTGGCCTCAGCAGGAACTCACATGGGAGCGTGTCCTGTGCCCGGGTCTGCAGTTTACAGCTCGCTGCGTGGACAGAACTGGGCTGTAACCTAGAACCGAAGTTGATTTTAAGTGTCGGGGGCTGTTTTCTATGGGTGGTCTTTTGCCTTTGCCTGAGAACATTTAAAATTTGCCTTTTGGCCCTGTAACTTTCTTCCCTCGTTTCATGGAAATCTGAACTGTAGAGAGAGGTGTGGCTTGGTTAAGATTAAAGGCCGAGCCTCAAGTTTGCCCTCTCTTAGACGGCACTGCATTGGAAGAAAAGCTTTGTGGGTGTTCCAGGCAGGCAAGAACTGGGAGAAGTGGGACCCCTAGTTAGAAGGCGATGGTGATTCTGTGGACAGTGTTCAGTGTCAACACATCTGGGTTACTAACAGTGTCTGGCCTATAACAGGTGTTTAACAGATAAATGGCTGAAAAGAGCCCTGTATCGAACACACAGCCCTTGGGGGTGGGCAGTTTGGGAAAATAAGGTGAGAGTCTAGAGCCACACCATTGGGCCTTTTGTGCAGCAAAGGGAAGGAAAGAGGCGATTGCTGACTTAGTTCCTGGGAAAGACATTTTCATGAACTAAGCATTTAATGACTTAATGCCAGATCCCGCCAGTGTGTTGAGGTTGGCAGTAGTGCAGTCTCAGCACTTCCTTTTGGGATTAGAGAACTTTCGTGCTCGTGGCCTGTGCAGCTTGAGTGTGAGCTTAGTAGTTTATGTAATTGCCTTCCCTGTCCAGCCTGCTCTTCTGTCAAAGGCGCATGATGCCTACTGCATGGTGTTTTAGGTTACATTAGTAGGTAACGTGCTTACTGGTGTAAAGTCTAGTTGCATTTTCCAGGGAGTAGGAAAGAAGAGGAGGTACAAGGGCATAGGTTTTGGGGCTACCAAATAATTTGAACGGGTAGGCAGGGCTTGCTCCCTCTGGGAGCACAGGTTAAACAGAAGGCTGGGCCAAGATGTAAGTTTAGAAGTAGGAGGTAGCTGGGTAAAGTGGCAGTGGTCAGGATGGAGGGGGCCCAAGCCCAGGTACTGGAAAGTCTCCGTGGTGGGGCCTGGCAGGAGAGGAATACCCTGGGGGGGTGGGGCAGTGAGTGTGGCCATGAGGCACTGCGTTTCTGACAAGTCCTTTCTTGGAGGAGAGAGGAGAAAGATGAATTAAGGGTATGTTTTCTCAAGGGATTAATTTTATTGGCAGAAGTGGAAGAGAAAAGAGAATATTACACTTGATATTTAAATATATAATACATATACTGCATGCCGAATACTCCTTATGCCTCTGGAACCGTAGAGTAACTGCCCCCTAAGCTAAGTGTTGACATATTTCAGATGAGAACTGATTACTGAGCAAGCTAAGCAGTGTCCTAAGCTATTCAGTAGCTCAACTAGGGTTCATCCCTAGGCCTGCTTGACTTCATATGCTGATATGATATGATACGTATTTAGAGGTGTTTTAATCTATGGGACTTCTCTCTTGGTTCTTTTGTTTTTTTGAGGGGAGTGGTTGTTTGATACAGGGTCATGGAACTTGCTATGTAAACCAGGCTGGCTGAGCTCAAATCCACCCACCTCTGTCTCCCAAGTCCTGCAGTTAAAAGCATGTGCTGTTGTGCCTGGCTTGGCCCCTGTTTCTTTCTGGACTTGTTAAGAGAAAGTTTTCTTCTGGATTATTGGAGCTGGGACAGTTGTCCAGAATCAAGGGCCCTAGATATATAATTTCCATTGTTTCTGTAGCAATAGATTGTCCTTTGGCTTGGGTCATTGATTCATGTAAGACTGTTAGAGCAGAACTGGAGAATGGCTCAGTGGTTAAGATCACTGGCTGCTCTTCCAAAGGCTCTGCATTCGGTTCCTAGCATCTGCATGGTGGCTATAGCTCCAGTTCCCGGGGAATCTGATTCCCTCTTCTGGCCTTCGTGGGCTTTGCACACCTGGCCACAGACATACATCCAGGCAAAACACCCATAGGCATAAATAAGTCTTTAAAAGAGAATAATCTAATATCTAAGAAAGAGCTGAAAGCATGTGCCAGAGGGTCTGGGTGAAGCCTCGGGCCTAAAGGACAGGATGCCAGCAGTTTATGAGGTCTGGGGTGTGCATTGCTCTGGTTTTATATATATGGGGTAATGGCCCTGGGCTGGAGTGTATTAACTGGATACTGTGTTAGCTGTAGGTCTGGCTGGGCTAGCCATTGGAGGTTCTAGGACTTAAAACTACCTCACTCTTCTACCTTACACAAAAAATACATTCCAGGTGACATAGATATTTCTAAAGTACCAGAAGAGGGCCAGAGACATGGCTAGTGGGGAAAAGGCCTCTGCTGTCAAACCTGATGGCTTAAATAAATAAAGATAATTTTTCTTAAATACCAGAAGAAAAATATTATTGTCGGATTGCCTGCAGCATAAAAGCCCATGTAGAAATCACAGAGGAAGAGCTGGGAACATCTACATACAAATTAAGCTGTAGTTCTAATCTTAAATATCACTAACCAAAATGAAAAACTAAGTGGGGTGTTGGGATGTAACTCAGTTGGTAGAATGCCTGCCTAGTTCGCATGAAGCCCTAGGTTCAGTTCCCACTTCCGAGGCAGGCATGCCTGTATTCCTAGTGTTTGGGAGGCAGAGGCAGAATATAATAGGCTAGCCTGAGTCACAGTTAAAGCCTGTGTCAATTTTTTTTAAAAACTTAAAAAACAAAAACCCCCAAAGCCAAAATGGGGGCTTGGGAGATGGCTGAGCTAATGAAGGGCTTCTTGCACAAGCTTGAGATCCTGAGTTCAGACCCCAAGTACTCTTGTAAGATCTGCCTGCTGTGCATGCCTGTGATCCCAGAGCTGGAAAGAGACAGATGAGCCAGCAGACCTCGTCTCCAAAAAGAAGGCCGGAGAGCAGTTGGGGAAGGTACCCAACAAGAACCTCTGACTCCACGTGCATGCACACCTGCATGTGCACATAGGGCCTGGGAGGGAGGTGGACAAAATGGGGAAATTATTTGCAGTATAATAGTATTATTAGTGAAGAAAACTGAGAGACCGGAAGATAGTAAAAATAGGCAAATCTCAGTAAAGACAAAAAACCTTGTCAGATCCATTATTATTTCCCAGGGAATAAGGACCTTCCCATTAATACAAACTGTGTCCCCGCAATCCTGCAACAAGGATATTATTATTATCAGTACGTAGTTGACTATACCAGCCAAATACTCTCATTCACTTTAGCAAATGTGATTAAAATTGCTAGGATGTGTACCACCTACCTTTTAGTTTCTTGCTGTATGGCTCAAGCTCACTTGGAATTGACCCAGGCTGGCCTCGTAACCCTTGACCCTTGACCCTCCTACCTCAGCCTCTGTGCTGGTGCTGCAGGCACGTTACCACCATGACAGTCCAGCACATGCACACACAGAGGTCAGGGAAACTTGTAGGGATCCTGTTCTCTCCTACTATTTGGGTTATGGGTGTCAGGCATTTTTTTTTTAACTTATGTGTATGAATGTTTTGCCTGAGTATGTTTCTGTACCACTAGGGTGCCTGGTACCTATGGAGGCCAGAAGAGGGTGTTGGATCCCTTGGAACTGGGGTTATAATGTAAGCTGCCATGTGGGTGCTGAGACTCAAACTCCTCTTTACCGTGGAGCCATGCCCTCCCCCACCAAACTATTTTGCCTGTGGATCTCAGGGCCTCCCTGAGGCATGTGTTAGACAAGATATCCCTGGTATTACTTGTTAAAGGCCATTAGTAGCTCATAGTCTCTGCAGCATGCAGTACTGTGTTCAACTGTATAATAACTTCCTCCTTTGGCCTAGCATTTAGTTGCCCTGATTGACAGGCTGGAACCTTGTGTCTTGCAGATGCTGTTGATGGCGTGATGAATGGTGAATACTACCAGGTACAGAGTACTCTAACTATTAAATGATAGCAAACTCGAGTCTTAACTGAGACCCCAGTGCTGGTACATTACCTACCAAACTGGAAAGTGGCGTTGATAGGAAGAGCTTGAAGAAAACCAATCTCAGGAGGCTGCCCTGGCTATGGCTAGCCTGTGACTCGCTTGGTAGACCAGGCTGACCTTAACCAGACTGCCTCTGCTCCTGAGTGCTGGGATTAAAAGTCTGAGCCACTACACTTGGCTTTCATTTTGTTTTTCTAGGACAAGGGTATATTGTATAGCCCATGTTGGCCTTGAGCTCATGGCATTCCTCCTGCCTCGGCTCCCCAAGTTTTTGGATTATAGGCATAAGCCATAAGCCACTATGTTCAACTGAGATCACTGTTTTAACGTTTTGCTGTCTTTTTTTTTCAAGAACTTATCCACCATGATGACGATCAGTTTGAACACGGTCACACCCGTATCAAACACTAGAGAAGTCACTGGTACTTTACTGTTTTTATCTTTGTTGGTTTGAGACAAACAAAAAACAATATAGCCCTGGCTGTCCTGGAATTTACTAGGTAGACCAGGCTAGGCTACCTTTGGCCCTTCTCTGCCTCCAGAGTGCTGGGGTTCACCATCGAGCCTGGCAGTTCCTAGAGCTTTACTTCTCTTTTTGTCTGAGGTTAAGCTGGTTATGATCCTCAGTTGGCCACAGAGTGTAAATCTCCAGTCACCTTGTTATTAGCGCCCAGTCTTACCCACTGCAGAGAAGTGTCCTTGTGGCCTCGGACTCACGGTTGCCGCCTTTTTTATTCCTTCCCTGGTTTGACTATAGTCATTGTGCATTTTCTTCTGGATTCTTTCTTAGAGTGCGCTGTTTTGGTTAGATAGTATTAAGTGACTTGCCTGCACCATAAAATAGCATTTGAAGTCTTGGGCTCTAGGCGTGGCTTTGCTATGAGTTTAGCTCTGTTACTTGGGAGATAACACATAATCTCTCTGTCAAGTGAAGAAACAAACTGATAATAGTTCCCTTACCCACGCACCTCAGCTTTCCCAAGTATTCACAGACACAGCCACTCTGCCTTCCTCAGGAGGGGGTGAGGAGTGCAGTGATGCTGAAAGCTCTGGCGGCTTGGGAGGTTCTGCTGTTGCTTTAAGCAATCCTTTAAGGTTTTATGGCAGCTAGCCATGCGGCGTGACCCGAGGTTCTAATTTTTATGGAGAGCATTTCAGGAAGGCATTTGGGTACTGACAGAGTGTGTTATTTTGTGTTAAGGAGAGCAATGGCCCAACAGACAGTTACGCAGCTATTTCAGAAGTGGATCGATTGCAATCAGAGCCTGAGAGTATCCGCAAGTGGAGAGAAGAGCAAACGGAGCGCTTGGAAGCCCTCGGTAAGGAACCCATTTGCCTCCGGTGTCTGTTTTCAGTGGGTGGTTGACCTGGACTCTACTTTTATCCCTTTTAAGCTTAGATTAGCTGTAATGTCCTTGTCTGGTCTTTGGGAAGCTGCATTTCTCAGCCTAAAGGTCACAAGCCCACCGACATGGACATGCTTCATCACAGACTATGAGGAATGTGGGCTAGGGAGCCAGCTCCCCCAGGAAGGCTAAGTTAGGATTTGATCTTACTGACTGTGGGCACTTGGTTCAGATCTCCATTCTGTTAGCATCTGAAAGGAAACAGTGTTACTCACCTCCAGAGCAGTGCTATTCACAGGCTCTGTGGAGACTTGACCACTGTCCTGTGAATGACATTCTCACAATGAATCAAACGTTAGGACATGTGCTTGTAACTTCCCATTGCTGTGATGTCATGGTGTTGAGTCAGTGGAAAGGAGGAAGGTTTAATTTGGCTCACAGTTTCAGAGATGGGCCACTGGTAAGACAGAAGCATCATGGCAGCATGGGCAGAGACCTCCCTTCAGCTAGGAAAGAGAGCCCTGGCGGCCAAGGACAACATATACCTGTGAAGACACTTCTCAGCCCCCACTTCAGGCCTCACCTTCATGTTAGCACCACCTCTCAGTGGTCCATTCAATTGTGATCAATTATAGATTGATCCATTCATTAGGTGGTCCAGTCACTTTCCATCAAATGGCATCAGGAGCCTTTTTTAAGGTTGATAATTTATGTGTGTGAATGTTTTGGCTGCATGTGTGTCTGTTTACCACCCGTGTGTCTGCTGCTCGATGTGTAGTCACGGCTAGCGATGTGTAGACCCTACTAGCGATGTGTAGACCCTGCTAGCGTAGAGCTCACAGAGATCCGCTTGCCCCTGCCTGCTGAGTGATGTGTGCGCTATCACCGCTAGCTCTTAGATGATTCTCATTGTAGTTAGATTGTGTGTGTGTATACTTTATTTTTAGATTTGTTTATTGTATTTTATGTACATAAGTGTTTTGCTTACATGTTTGTATACGTACCAGATGTGTGCCTGGTGCCTTCAGAGGTCAGAAGAGGGTGTGGGATCCCTTGGAGCTGAGATGGGTGAGATGCATGGCTGTGAGCCACCACATGGGTGCTGTGAACCTAACCTGGATCCACGGGAAGAGCATCAAGTGCTCTTAGCCCCTGAGGCATCTCTCCATTCCCATACTCACTCTGTAGACCAGGCTGGCCTCGAACTCACAGAGATCCACTTGCCTCTGCTTCCCAAGTGCTGGGATTAAAGGCGCGCGCCATCTCCAACTTCTTTTGTTTTGACTGATCTACTCTATCTTGAAGACATAATGTCCTGTCTAACTTTATTCCATTACTCTAGAAATATTACATTTCTTCATGTATTTACACCAATAGTAGGTCTCTCTCAGAATACTGGCCTAGTGAAAACATGACTCCTTATTTAGATGGGGTAACTGACACCTGGATATAGGAAAAAACCTGACCCAAATAACCTAACCAGTTAATTCCAGATCTTTATCCCTAGTACAGAGTGACCCTGCATAGAAGGGCCTGAATGTCCTTTCTTCAGTGGAAATACTTGCTATATATACTGTTGGCCAATTTGGTCCTTGTTTTTAATACAGTTGTGTGTGTATGTGGTGATATACAGTGTAGTAGCCACTCAATAGAGTTGTGTGTGTATGTGGTGATATACAGTGTAGTAGCCACTGGCCACATGTGGGTATTTAGGTACTCATGACTGGAATTCAGCTCAGTCTTATGCTTTGTTCATTTTTAGTAAGCTTACACTCCAGTAGCAACATGTGTCTGGAAGCTACTGTATTACTGTAGGGAGATGAAAACAGGCTGCCAGGTGTCTTAGCTGCTGTGGTCTTTGTTTTTTTGTGCACGTGTGCATGCCTGTGTGTCTCTACTGAAGGCTTGGAGGCAAGAGTCTGCCTTCACAGACAGGATATGTTTTGCTGATAGGAAATTTCTTTTTTTTAAAAAAATTATCAAGCTTGTATGTTGGACTATTTGAAGAGTATTCTTAACTCGAGGTCTTCTCCCACCTCCACCACAGAACCTCATAGTGTAGCTCTGCTCGGCCTGGCATTTGTTGTGTAAACCAAAATTGGCCCAGGAGCGCTCTTTGCTTCTTCAGATCACTACTTGGTGCCACTCTGCTTTCTCCAAAATCCTAATTACAGCTTGGGCTCTCGCTCTGCACTTGAGAACTCTGGATTACTGGTAGCCTTGATGGTCAATCGTGTGATTATTTCCAGACTTGCCTGATGAAGTAAGTCAGGGCGAGCTGGAGAGCAGACGAAGGCTTTGCCCTGGATTGTGGCAAGTTCACGCACCTTTCAGATGTGGTTTTGTGTTTTGGTTTGGTTTGGTTTCCCTCACTGCTGAAAATGGACCCAGAATTTATCTTCCTGGGAGAATTATCCGGACTAAGATGCATGTGAACCACTACCTGGCGAGGATGTACTTAAGAACATGTTTGACTGTTAGAGCGAGTTCAAGTGCACCACCGGCTGTGACTATATTCTCTCTCTCACTTTGTGACAGACCATCGTCAAGTACACATGTGAGGAAAGCCATATTTAATCTTAAATTTCACATTGAAACTGGAGAGATGGCTCGGTGGTTAAGAGCACTTGTTGTTCTTGCAGAGGACCCAGGTTCAGTTCCTAGCACAGACATGGCAGCCTGTCATTCCATCTCTACAGTTTCTCATGCCCTCTGCCTCTGGGTACCTGCATTCTCACACGCACGCATACACACAAATAAAAAATACAAAGCTGAGAGAAAAGAAATTTCACATTTGAGAATCCAGACTAGACTATCTGTATGTGTGGGTTTTCTCTCTAGTGTCTTGAATGTTTTGGGTAACTGTTAATAGTGATTCTGTGTCCTTGACCCTGCCCTTCCCTCCTTCCTGCTTTCTTCCACAGCTGGCTCTGCTACAAATCAACTGCAGTCTGAGGATGTTTCAGTAGATAGTTTGTGGCTCACGAGTCATTTCTACCTCTGCTAATTTTCCTGTTAGTTTCCTGCTTCACGCAAGTGTTTGCACCATGTTTATAGACAGGAGAGTAAATCTGTGTTGTAAAAACATGAATGATTACTTGCGCCATGTTTATAGACAGGAGAGTAAATCTGTGTTGTAAAAACATGAATGATTACTTGCGCCATGTTTATAGACAGGAGAGTAAATCTGTGTTGTAAAAACATGAATGATTACTATGGTTGTAGGCCATACAGTCTGTGAGGAAAGCAGAGATACTGTTGAGCTGAAGAGTGGTCGGCTAGCTTGCACAGAGTCCTGCGGCCAGTCCCTGGTGCAGCACGAAATTGGGCATAGTTGTACAGTCTTCGTCTAGCATTTAGGTGGTGGAATCAGGAGAACCAGAAGTTCAAGGTTGTCTAGGTTCAGGGTCATCCTGGGATAAATGAAATAAATACTGGCTCAAAAAAAGGAAAAGAAGAAAGTTGTGTGTATACCTGTGCACCACATGTGTGAAGTACTTGTAGAGGCCAGAAGAAGGTGTCAGATCTGGAACTGGAGTTACGGGTGGTTGTGAGCCACCGTGTGATGTGGGTGCTGGAAATGGAACCTGTTCCCTGGAAGAGCAGAGCAGCCATCTCTCCAGCTGCCTCCCATCATCTCCCCAGCATGTCCATACACATACATCCCCATCCTTAGGTAAATTCGGTAAGACCAAAGTGTTACATGTTGACGTGAACTAAACTTTGCTTTCCCTCAGTTGTGTTCTTTTCTCTCCTTTAAAGATGCCAATTCTCGGAAGCAAGAAGCAGAGTGGAAAGAAAAAGCAATAAAGGAACTAGAAGAATGGTATGCGAGGCAGGATGAGCAGCTACAGAAAACAAAAGCAAACAACAGGTCAGTCCACTGTGGTTCTCTGAGCCTGGATCCAATCCATTTTCCATCACACCGTGCAGCTTCTTGACTGTGCCTGCCTTCATATGAAAGGCCTTGGCCAGTTCGGAAGAAACTGCTAGAAACAGAGGCTACAAGTCTCCTGGGTCTGGTGAGCATAAGTCAGCCTCGATTGAGTTTGGCTCTTAAACTGGGTTTGGTTTCATCAGTGTAGTGGCATGATCTGGGACAGTTCACACTGGAGAACTCTGAGATGAAAGGTCGGTTGCCGGCTCATTACTCTGGAGACGATTACAGACTGACTTATCCGCATTCCCTAAATGTAGCCCTGCCCTCCTAAAGAGGCTTCCCGGGGTCTTTAGCGTGGGCATGCTCTGTAATTAGGTAGTTCAGGATGTTCCAGCATTGGCAGGATTAGGGTTCACTGGCTACTATTCCCCCGTACTTAACAAGTCTTGAATAGGTTTCTTAAAGATGCTCTTCTTTTCAGAGTACATTCACTTACTGAGAGTTTATAATGTAGGGAGCAAACACTCGTTCCCCTGTTACTACCAAGCATTGGCTGTGGTCTGCACTACCTTCTTAGGAGTCCGGACTTCCTGGAATACCTTCCTTCTTGGAGGCAGCCTGGCGAGGTGTTTGTAGAAGAGCTCTCTGTATGCAAAGCAGATTAGCTTACTTTCTGCTGGACCCAGAGTAGGAGGCAGATCACTCATTTCACTGTTTAAAAAGACAGAACAAACTCAAGGCAGACTAGGGTGGGGCCTTAGGATGGTCTCGCAAGGCAGGATCTGCAAGGCTGGATCTGGTGCTGCCTTTGGGGCAGCTCTTAGATGGAAATCTGTCAGGAAAATGTAGCTGACCCTTTACTAGCCAGCTGATGCCACTGTGAGGCAACCGTGACGGAACAGATGGGCGCCTTTAAAACTGCCCGAGCCTTCTTATTTAGTTATTTATTTATTTTTGGAGTGTAGTCATCCTTGGCACTGTCCTTTGATGCCAGGCCCAGGCCTCTTAACCTGTTCATCTCTCTGGGGAGAGGGATACACTCTAGAACAATGCCTTCAGCTTCCATTTGAAATTTGGTGTCAAGCAGGGTGGAAACTAGTGTCTGGTCAAGGTCAGCTGCCATCCTGCTCTGTCTGCTGTGCTGCTGTGAAGTGCTCACAACGCCACGCCTTTCTCTGCCCTGTGCCTCCTTGAGATGCGTTCCCCCAGGTTCTGGATCTGTGCTAATGAAGGCTGCTGTGGTGTAGTGAGATTCCCCAGCAAAGGCTGCCTTGGCACTTGAAGTACTTGGGCCAAATGATCTAAATCTTTCTGTGCCAGGTCCTCAAGGCTTCAGCAACATAGCAAATAGATTTTCAAATTTGATAAAAACTCTACTGGGACCAGGCTTCCTGCTGGAGTCGCCTTTACTTCCTCCCTTTATCTAAAGGAATACGCCATGTCTGTTGTAGGAACTTAACCTTAAAGGTTGAGGTTCTGAACATGTTGCCAGACAGTAGTACTTTACTTTTCTTGGAATCGTAGGATGTTGAGTTGCCTGATCTGCTCAAGTTCCAGACAGAGATGATTTCCCACGGAGTGTTAACACGGCACTGTCAGAAGCCAGCGTGTGCACCGTGGAGAACATGCTCACCAGCTTCAGGTTGCCGAGAGCTGGAGGTGCGCTGGCCAGCACCCCTCAGTCAGAACAGATTTGCTCTCACTGTTTATTCCAGTAGTTTTGTTGTCTTTTTGTTTGGCATTGAGACAGTCTTTATGTAGTCCAGGCTGGCCTGCAGCTCACAGAGATCCACCTGCTTCTGCCTCTGCAGTGCTGGGATTAACCGTGTGTGCCACCACCACCACCAGGCTTCCAGCGATTCCTTCAGAGGCTGGTGTTGGCAGCATTGCAGGCCAATTGAGGGGCTCTAGGAGCGAAGCTGTGTTTGTGGTAGGAGCACTTTAGCATGTGCAAGGCCCTGTGTTCATCCCGCAGCAGCTCAGAGTGAAGGAAGGTGGAGATGGAGCTGTTGGTGGTGCCGCACTGCTACAATCTCACACTCTGAAGGCTCTGGCGGAAATGAGTGTTGAGGCTAGCCTGGGATGCACAGATCTTGTCTCAACAAAACACCTCACCAAGATATTGGGGGCCAGTCCAGGCCCGGTCCTGCAGTGCGTGTGGAAGTCAGCAGACATAGGGGTCTTTGTTCCCTTGTGGATGGCACTGTGTCGTCAGTGCCGGGCTGCAGCTCCCTTCATCCCAAGCCATCCGGTGGTAGCTGTGAGAAGAAATCCCCTTTTCAGAGAGTCCAAGCAGTGGTCTCCTGCAGTTCATCTGTGGAGGAAAACCCTAGAGCAACCCTTCCCAAGCGAGAAGAGAAACATTGTCCATGTTAGAGGTCTCTTGTGTTGGGACTTTGAGTTCTCCTGTGGCCTGAAAACATCTGAGGAATCTTAATTATTTTTAGCAGTGGTAGATTCCTTTCCCCATGTCCACTGTGGAGCTATTTATAGGATGCAGTTCTGAATTGTGATTTTAGGCCTGAAGAGCTTGTCCTGTGGTCAGGCATTCCTCTCCCCTTTCCCAGGCTTCCCTGAGCTCTCTGGCAGTCACTGGGAGAAGAACAAACAGGTGGGGTGCCTGCATTTGCTGTGTTTTCTCTGTCCTTCAGAGGCCCTGCTTGTCACTGACAAGCTCTGTAGTTTTGGGGCTAGTTGCAAACAGAGCCCCGACAGAGAAGCCTTTTGTCATCAAGTGATGCCTTGTTGGGAGACATTAATCCTTTATCCTCCTCCAGGGCTAAACCCCTTGTATAAACTGAAAGGATCAGAGCATCCACAGTGCCTGGCCTTGTGAGCCTCTCTCTCATTCAGCAGCTGTTTCCTGCGAGTCACTGAGTCACAGCCAGGCTGCTCCTTTTGCTCTTTCTAAATATCCACAAACACCTTCTGTGTGGAGAAGTATGAAAGAGTAAAGGGTGTGTGTGTTTAAAAAATAATCTGAAACCCACTGACGGTGTCATTGAGTCAGTAGCGTCGTGGTGTCTGAGTCCTGATCTGGATCCACAATACTGCATTTCATAGAGTGGCGGCTCCAGAGCATGCTTGGATTCTTAGGAGGCAGGAAGATCAGAATTTCAAGGTCATCTTCACCTCCTTATGAAGTTTAAGGCCAACCTGGTCTAGCTGAGACCTTGTATCAAATGAAATAAGTCAAAATGTAAGTTATTAGAATATGCCTTCAGATAAATGTGTGCTTAAGATAGTGAGTGAGCGTGATTGTCATTGGAAACTGGCCCAGCCAGTTAGTTACCGCTGCCTCGCTACTGAGAAGCCAAGTGAGTTCTTGGCTAGCCAGGAACTTTGAGACTCTGTCTCAAAAAAACCAGACATTTTCAGTTTTCCATCCTAAAACAGCCTGGCAAAGGACAGCTGAGACTTTTTGCTGTGTCCCTTCTCGGCACCTTGTATCCCTGGTCAGTCCACTCTGTCATCTGGTCCACTTCCACCCGAGTGTATTAAGACTTGCTGAAACTTGGGATTTTAAGGTACACTTTGTCAGAGCCAGCCAAGACTAATGTAAAGGTGTTCAGAAACTGCCGTGGCTTCCTGAGCAGAATAGAAAAGCCTGGGGCCAGAGGCCACACTAGTTTCCCTCCGCTTGCTCTTATCTCTAAGTTGGCAGCAACCACAGACTGTTTCTTCCACCAAGCCAGTGTGGGGAAGCAGTGATTGGAACTGATATTGGGGATTAAATCTTTGGGACCGTGCCCATGTGTTGCTTGGCAGTATTCAAGTATTCATACCCAGTGATACTGAGGAAGGCTGGCAGGAAGGTAGCTTGCCGTCCCGAGCTTGGAAACGACTTTAATTTATAGTAAGTAAAATATCTGCACTACCAGCCACACTGCTGCAGCCGCAGCTGGCCAGGTCTTCGCCTCTGAAGCCCCAGTCATCTTCCACTTGGAGTAGGGCGAGAACACTGGCAGCCATAGGTGTTAGTGGCCGAGGTGTGTGCAGTGGCATGTAACCCATAATAAAGGTTGTTGCTGGGCTGGCCCGAAGCTGAAGCTGAAGCGCTCTCTTGTGCAGAGCCGATGAAGGCCAGCTTCCAAGACGCCTCTGCACTGGAGTCTCCACCGCTGGAAGCCCCCCTGGGTTAGAATGGAGTCTTGGGAGCAGCTCCCCAGGGCACTGTCACACCTCTTTTGTGGATTGTAGATGTTTCTGCTTCTCAATGTTTTCTCTTTTCTCCTGCCTGCTCGCCTGCCTTTTGGACTTCTTGCTGTCTAGGGTGGCAGATGAAGCTTTCTACAAACAACCCTTCGCTGACGTGATTGGTTATGTGTATGTTGCAAAACTAATTCCTTTTCTTGTTTTGATTCTTTTTGTTTAGAGTTAATGCTCCTTTTTGTCACAAGTTGCTTTGCTTTTTAAAATATTTCCCCTTGGCTCTGTGGGGCTGCTTGACAGTTGATAAGCTAGCTGTGACCTTTGCTAACCTTGCAGAGTGCTCACCCCACACTCCCTGGCGACCACTTGCATACCCGATCCTGGTGGAAAGCAAGCTTTCAAACATGGTCCTTCACAATCTGTCTGGGAAGGCTCTGGGCTCAGATGGTCTGACCTCTTGCTGTTGCTGCCACTGGTACTGCTTCCAGGCCCTGTTGCCTGCCTGTCTGCCTAAGATGGGAAGGAGAGTCTCCCTCATGGAGCAGTCGATGACCTAAGTGTTAGGAGCCCAAGGACAGCAGCCTCCTAGATCACCAGTCAGAGTGGGGAGTTTGAGGGCGGGGGTGCTCTGCCTTGTCAGTTCTTGATCTGGGAGGTGAGTGGTGCTCACTCAGGCAAAGTGGGTATCTGTCACTGTCTTCTCTGGTCTCAGGCATCAGAGATTGCTAATTTAGTGGCCAGCTTCTGGTACCCTGTCTCCCACCCTAGCAGAGGTCCCCCGCTGTGAGGTCAAGATATTCAAGTGTTCTCCTCTCCTCCTGCCCCCCACCCCGCCCCCAGAAAACTGTTATCTTTCCTGGAAAAGCTTTTTTGTTTGTAATAAGGATCCTTGTTACTGAAAACAGTATTTCTGAGGACTTGGGATAGTCCTCACTGATTTCCTTTTTACAACAGAATTAGGGGAGAAAGCAGCAGCCACTGTGGAAGGTGGGTGGTAGGCGGAGAGCCTCAGGGCCATGACCCTGAGATGACCACTCCTTAGAAGACAGCTGGATGTGATTGCAGAGACTTGTGAAATGCTGGGCTTACAGGTGGTGTTTGATTTGACTTTTACACATTCTCTGGAGTAGAAATGGAGACTGGAAAGGTTGTGTCTGGGTTTGCTGGACAGCAGGGTGGCCCAGCAAAGCCAGCTTCATGTCCCAGGCATAGGTAGAGCGGCAAGGGCATGTCTAGCTACTGACCATCTGCATTGAGCTCATTCTCATTTTCTATATCTGACCTAAAGTTTCTCCTTGTTTCTTTTCTTCTCTTCACCTTTAAGCACAAACATAAACCATCCTTGCTACAGCCTAGAACAGTTAAGTAAACCTTTCTCACCGCCCCTAACTGTGTGTGCCATGAAGTCGCAGTGTTGTAGTGGCTCTGGGCTTCAGCAGTGTTTGCCACGGCCATCCTTGTGATAGTGCCACCCTCTGTCCCCACAGACCGGTCATCTCCATTGCTTTTGCTTTGCCGTGACGCTTGTTGGAGTGATGAAACACATGTGTCTTCCCACTTCCACCACTGTCCTGGGCTCTGCTCGTGCCAGTTAGTCCCCACTGGGGGTGGGCCGGTCTTGATGGGAAGAATATTGGAGTGGCATCCTGCCAAAAAGCAGCTCATGTTGGCTCTCCTGCCAGGGTACTCCCTGAGTGGCACCAGGCACCCGGGTGGAGAGAAAATGGCAGACCTTTGGCTGAACTGGTGACTGTCCTAACAACCCTTCCAGAATGGCTGTAGTCTCTAGTGCCTGCTAGCATGGAGCTTGGTCTTGAATGCCTTTTGCTCTGCCCTGTTTCTCTCCAGCCTTAGGAGTAAGTTTTGGGCTCTTGTGCAATGACCCAGGGCCTTTTTAGAAGCTCAGTATAGCCCAGCACAAGCTACTCTGCAAGCCCTTGATCAGCCTGCTGCTTTGCTCTTGTGCAAAAAGCAATGCATAGGTGGCCAAGGACTTGCTTTTTCATGCTCTGATGAGCAGAGACAGCCATAGGGACAGACTGAGCACTGAACCAAACACCTGTATTCCACCATTTCATACAGCAGCCTGGGTACCTGTACCAAGGAGAGCTGGCCACGTGTCTGCCCCTGCTTCTGACCTGAGCCAGGGGCTGATACTCTTTGGAAAACCAGAACACCCCTGAGTCAAAAGAGACAAACACTTATCCTGTAGCAAGTTGTAGCAAGGCAGCCACCAGTTTGCTCAGTGGGTGTTTACATTAAACCAACATGCTCTGTTATTGCTTCCAGGGCAGCAGAAGAAGCCTTTGTAAACGACATCGACGAGTCATCCCCAGGCACTGAATGGGAACGGGTGGCCCGCCTGTGTGACTTTAACCCCAAGTCCAGCAAACAGGCCAAAGATGTCTCTCGCATGCGCTCAGTCCTCATCTCCCTGAAGCAGGCCCCCCTGGTGCATTGAAGAGCTACCCGGTGGAAACACTACGTCTGTGATATCTTAATCCTACTCAGTGAAGCTGTTCACGTAATTGGATTAATTATGTTGAGTTCTTTTGGACCAAACCTTTTTGTCTTTAGAGTTGATCATTGTTTGTGATTGCATGTTTCCTTCACTGTTCTCCCTGGCATTCAGAGAAGAGGGGAGGAGGAGGGGAGGACCCTCCCGACAGTAGCCTCAGCCCGTGCTTTTGTGCATTATTCTGAGAATAAATTTCTGTTTCAGACAATATACATGAAGCGTCTTTATTGACCTCAAACTGGTGCTGCAGCTTGGGGCAGGCTTAAAGCAGTGAGTGAGTCTGTTACTTCTGGGGCTGAGAAGGCACAGCCATTGAACACCCACCCCTCTTTAAACTGTAGTAACTCCATAGTTCTGGTGTTTAGTGGGGACGGGGGTACTGGAGAGTGAACCTAGGGTCTCGGGTGTACTAGGTAAGCATACTACAACTGGCCTGTTTGACTTTTTGGGATAGGGTCCAATTAAAGAAGCAGTTTAAAGGCCCCTCCATAATGCCTTAGTCCTCTCCCCTCAGCTCCCGTGACCCTAGCACAGCTTGGTTTGGGCGTTGTCTACACACCATTGTTTGGGGTTTCTTGAAGGCAGTGTGACAGTTTTAAAATCTGACATTGTTCAGATGAAAAACTAGAGGACCGAAGAGATGGTGTGTGCGGTCCAAGAACGTAAAGGGTAGCACAGCTTACGGCTGATAGGCTCCAGTTCTCTACCTGGTGACCCTGAGCCTCTATGTGAAAAGCTCTACCTGAAGCTGCCGTGCAGCAAGGAAACCCAAGTTCATCTGCTTTTATAAAAAAAAGATGAGTAGGGGTGATTAGTGGGTGTTTTGCATTTAGTTCTGAGTTTCCTTCCTGGGACTACCTGTTCTCTGTGTTGGGGACTACATACTAGTTTAATAATGCTGTCTATTAATAGCTTCCTTCCTCTTTGGTTCAGAAAGCAGTGGTACTCGATACTGTAAATTATTGTGTAATGTTAAAAGCTGAGTAAGCAGGACAACAAACACAAACCTCCTGGAAGAGTAGTGCTTCTAGCTGAGTTGAGGGGAAAAGCGTATTATGGTGGTGTTAAGACTTGGACAAGGAGATGGATTTTTTTCTTTTAAAGTTAGTTCAGGGGGCTGGAGAGATGGCTCAGAGGTTAAGGACACTGACTGTTCTTCCAGAGGTCCTGAGTTCAATTCTCAGCAACCACATGGTAGCTCACAACCATCTAAAATGAGATCTGGTGTCCTCTTCTGGCATGCAGGCATCCATGGAGGCAGAACACTGTATTGTATACGTAGTAAATAAAATCTTAAAAAAAAAATTAAAAAAAATAAAATAAAGTTAGTTCAGAATCAAAATATTTAAGATGTAATTTAACCATATGTAATAATTTATGTCAGGACATATTACTCTTTCCACAAATTTGATTAAAGCTAAAAATTTGGCTTTGAATTTGGCAGCAATGCAGTTGTTTGGTATGTGGTATTAGGGTTCAGCCAGGAGTGGGTGCTGATGCCCCTTTGTGTATCCTCTGTCCCAGACACAGCTTCCTGGACAGGAAGCAGGTCCAGGTGAGGCTGTAAGGCAGTGGTTCTCACCTGTGGGTCGCGTGACCCTTTCACAGGGTTCACATAGCAGATGCCCTGCTTTTCAGATATTTACATTACAATTCATAACAGTGGTAAGATTACAGTTAGCAAATAGCAAGGAATTAATCCTGTGGCCCTGGTCACCACGACGTGAGGAACTGTTCGGTCTTTATGTCCAGTGTTCTCCTTGCCCCTGGTCCTTGCTGTGCCTGCTCACTGTGTCCCTATCCTGGTTCCCCTTTGGAAGGGGAATGTATTCTGCCACTGTGGGTTGGAAGTGTGTAATTTTCATTTTATAGAGGGATGTAGTTGAGAGATTTTTTGAATGGTGTTGAGACTGTTAGAGACCACAGGGACTTTACTGGTGGACTAACTTGCGTTTTGATTTGTGATATTTTCATAGGTTCATTGGAATAGTAAAAACCCAGAGACAGAAATTGGGGTTTAGCCTCAAGGTCAGAAAAGCAAGGCAGCCAAACCACTAGAGAAGTCTTACCTCTACCAAATCTGGACAACCGTAAACTAGCCAAACTAAGCCTCTCTCTCCTCCCATTTTATATTCCCTCTAGTGCTGGGATTGAAGACGTGACTCCCTAGGAAGGACTGGGATGAAAGGTGTGAGCCACCACCTGGATTTGTTTCAGCACTGACCTTGTGTAGCCCATGGTGGCCATCTGCCTCTGTCTCCCAGATCCTGGGACTATAGTGGCTTTAGCTTTGCCTCTGGTCTTCAGGCAAGATTTATTTATCAAAAAACAAATGTGCCACTACAGGACTGGGTGCTGAAGCTTGAGTGAGGATGTCCTCCATGGGCTCAAGTACGTCACACATGGTCCCCAGTCGGTGCTGTTTTAGTTGTATTGTGTCATAAATGAAAGAACAGGTCTTAGGCTGGGTGTGGTGACTCACTGTGTATAATTCCAGCACTCTGGAAACTGCATCAGGAGGATTGTTGTGAGTTCAAGATGAACCAAGGTTCAGAGTGAGACAAGTGAGATTCTGTCTCAAAAACAAACATACACAACAAAAAGCACAAATTCTAATTTAGAATTCAGATTTGTGGCTCTGAGCTTTAGGTGTCTCTCTGTCTCTGTCTCTGTCTCTCACACATGCACACACACTGGCTCCATTGATATTCCAGGTCACAGGGAACAGTGAAAACAGAAGCTGCAGACTGCTTAGAAGCAAAGACCCAGCCAGGCAGTGGTGGCGCACACCTTTAATCCCAGCACTTGGGAGGCAGAAGCAGGTGAATCTCTGTGAGTTCGAGACCAGCCTGGTCTACAAGAGCTAGTTCCAGGACAGGCTACAGAGCTACAGAGAAACCCTGTCTCGAAAAAAAAACAAAAGAAAACTTGATGAGTAGAGCCTCTTCCAGCAGACACTGGAGTGTGGTATCTGTCCAGGCCCTGATTCTGGTGGCTGTTTTACAGGCACATGCCTGTGACAGGCTATGAGATGAATGAAGTTACATTGTTGAAAATCAGCAGGCGTTTCCTGGTGAGCTTTCCTTCACTGTGTCTGAGGAAGGACTGTTAACCCACATCTTCCCAGGAGCTGCACAAGTGTTGCTCCTTTGGTGCAGGAAGTGTCACTGGAACCCACAGGGTCTGCAGTAAGATGATCCCATCGGCCCAACCTCTGCAGAGGCACACGGGAAAGGTGTGATGCTGGTCTTGGTTGTCAGCTTGATTATATCTAAAATTAACTAAAAACCCAAGAGGCTAGCTACACCTGGTAGGGATTTTTAATTAAATCATTTGAAGTAGAAAGAGCCACACTTTTCTGGTGGCAGCCTCTCTAAAGGACATGGACGAAGGAAGTGATTGTCTGGCTGCCCCCACTCTCCTGGACTGGATTTCCCTTGGGAGACAGCCACTGCTGGACTACTCAGCCTTTGAGCTATTCTAGTAATTCCCTTTATGTATAGAAAGATTCAGTCTGTCAGTTCTGTTCTAGAGAACCCTGAATACAAGAGACAAAGCAAAGGTACTTCTGGTGTTGCTGGAGAATAAATACCAAATTTGCCTTTTAAAAAATAAGATTTATTTTTAATTCTGTGTTTGTGGGGAGGGGTATGTACATTTGGATGCAGATGCCCTAGGCTGCTGAGGCCTTGGATCCCCTGGAGCTTGGCTTTCAGGCAGTTGAGGTGCCCGACTGAGCGCTGGGAACCGAACTGGGGTCTTCTGCAAGCGCAGTACAGGCTCGTAACCACTGAGTCATCTCAGCAGCCTCCACCCCCAAACTTGCCTTTGGAGAAGTACTGATCTAAAAGAACCTCGTTTCACTAAGTAGCTCTTGGGTCCATGTCCACTCCCAGGTGGCCTAGTGGATCCTGCGGGTTGTATAGTCCAGAACCATGCTGGCAGCGCCAAGCAGGGCTGGGTCAACCAAGTCAGAAACCACCACATCCACATCCTGCACGGAGGACAAGGCTTGCTGGCGGATGACATCCTTGACAATGTGGATATAGTGACTGGCCAGGACTCCAGACAGGATCACTAGGGAAGGATTCATAGTGTGGAGGATGTTCACAACCCCAAGTCCCAAAGCAGTTCCAGCTGTAGGGGAGCAAAAAGCAGAAAAGTTTCCAGGAAAATGTCAAAGCAGACACTGGGAGGTGCTGTGTGATAAACTGTCTACGAAGACCGCTTAGTCTTTAATCCTACCCTCAGGAGACAGAGGCATGTGGATCTCTGTGAGTAGACCAGGCTGGTCTATACATTGAACAGCCAGAACTAAAAACCAATCTGTTCATGGCTTACTCTTTCTTAGATCTTTTGTTTTCTCTCTTTGAAACAGACTCTTACTGTGTAATCCAGGCTGGCCCCCAACTCCCAGCAGCCTTCCTGCCTCAGCTCCCAAGCACTTGAGTCTAAGCTTTGAGTTGGCTTTTGTTTTGTCTTGAAACAAGAGTCTCACTGCATGGCTCAGAACTCCTGGGATCAGGCAATTCTCCTGCCTCCGCCTCCTGAGGAGAGAGGCCTATAAAAGAGTGCCTTGATTTATTCTCCTTTTTGAGACAGGATCTCATTCTGTGGCCTAAGCCTCTCTTGAGCTCACTTAATCATGCAAGCTGCTACTTAGATTCCTAGAGCTGATGATCTCCTGCCTTCCCCAGGCCTCCCAGGTACCATCTTTCTTGTTGTCAGCACAGACAACAAAGTGAGATGCCATCTGAGAGGAAAAGAGGAATGGGGGTCGAGCTTAGTGGCAGAGTGCTCGCCAGAACATAGAAGGCCCTGTGTTCATTCTAAGCACTGCAAAGTAGGTAAAATGTATACTGTAAGACACAATCTTAATTATGTAAGCATTACAAGAACAAACAGACTGGAAAGACTTTCTAACAGTCGGTGACTCGAGACAGTTTTCCTTACTACTTTCCTGTACTTCTCTAAATACCTATAAAGTGAATAAGCAATATTTTCAGCATGAAATAAGAAGTAGAACACAATTATAGGCAGTGCTTCTAAATATCTTCAACACGTTTCCCTTTTTCAGAAAGTAGGAATCACAAGGCAGAGCACTGCACCTGAGGGAAACCGAGGCTCTCTGTGGGAGCCCTGGGTGTCCAGGACAGTAGGCTTACCTGTTCGTAAGATGCTCTGGGCCTTCACGTTGCCGAGCTTGGCAG